TTAAAAATGCTTATTATATCTTAGTAAAAAAAAAGTTTTAGATAAAGGTGCTCCAGATTCAGGTTTATACTAAAATTTATATATATAAAAAAAATTTTTGTTCTGTTGACTGGAGAATCATCAATTAAATAAGTTTAAAAAAAAATTTATCTTAACTTTTTTTTAATAATTAAATTGTAATAGAATATATTTGGTTGTTAGTTTTATTTTATAAAGTTGAAAGAAGTTTTTCAAAATATAATAAAATTTTAAATAATAAACATAATCTTAATATAGATTCTTTAAAATATTAAATATTTTATATTTTAATCAATAATAATAAAGATTATGCTAGAATAATAATAATGCTAATATTAATATAAAAATTTGTATTAAAATTATAGTAAATATTAATTAGAATTATAATTAATACTAACCAAAATTATAATTAAAATAAATTATAATTTTTACAAAAATCATTATAAAGATTTGCTATTTTTTATCAAAATTTTTATGAGTTTCTGACTTGAGAGCGTAACAATTTAACCACTTTACTAAATTACTACACCTAAAATTTTTTTAAAACCTTATCTATTATTATTATTTTTTCTTCAGCAATCCTGTTTACTTTATTATGGGAACAGACTTTCATTTCTACATTGGTATACGAAGAAATCTAAAATCTATAAATGTTCCAACCAAAGAGTAAACTCACCCCTGGCATACCTCACAGATTCGAAACATCCACTTGCGGTCAGGGCAAACAATTAAACCGCTGAGTCTTGCCCAGATACGACCTGTCTAGCAACACTTGACCTCCTCCAGAGATCCGGAACTCACTCTGGACTTATTTCTCTCAGATTTCTTGGCTGGCTGTTGCTCGCCCCATCAAGATTTCTACTTTATAATAGAATGCCACCAAACTGATGACACTTTCTCATAGAGAAGGAAAAAATAAAAAAAAAGGGGAATAATAAGGAACAAAAAAAGGGTAAATAATAAAAACAAATACATCAAAGAAAATGAATACTAAAACTAAGAAATATAAAAAAAACTAAACTAAAAATCTAAAAAAAACTATCGCTAAAAAGAAGAAAACCTGCTAACCAGGCAAAAACTTCTAATTATACAGAGTAACGATCTACTATTAAGTGCGAGAGTCTTGACAAAAATAAAACTATAAAACAAAACAAAATGCACTATAACTTGTGCTAGAGACTAAAAATTATATACAAGGGACACGTTGTATATCTCAAAACACTTTGCTTGACTTTTTCCTATTAAATCCATATCTTCATCCGAAAGTATAAGGACTTTAAAAACTCCACGTGACTTGTTGTTATCATTTCATTCATTTCGTAACATGTGCCAATTTGTCATCATCTAGTTTCCCGATATGGAAGTAGTAAACAATGCCGATCTTTTGGAGGAGATAAGCTGAATTCCCCACTTTTTGTCAAAAATTTTGAAGCCAAATAACAGCGAGGAAATATTGAGTTTTTGTGAGTTTTCCAACCAAGAAGTGTTGTTCCAAGAGTTCTTCAAAGTCTTCCATCTTCAAACTAACTTTAGTTTTCTTTTCTACTTGCTGTTCCCAGAGACTCCTCTGGTTTGGATGCCAAACGCAAAGGGGAGTTTACTTTAGAAATAGCAGAGAAGCAAGGCTTGACCCCTTTGCAAACCGTCCAAAATGCCCGCTCCTCGGTGTATCACGTTTAAAAACTTCGTTGACAACAGTTCGTATCGAGAAAACTTCAAGTTGTTATCGACTTCTAGGCTTGAATCTTCAACTTGCTTTCGGTGTTAGGTTGGTACAAGTGATCGTTAGGAAGAGTTGTATTGTATATAAATTATATTAAAGATGACATTCATTCAATTATAGATATTATATAAACATGAAAAATAATTAAATTTATATCGCAATATGTGTTGGTATAATATAATAATATCTATACTATATATTTCAATTAATAGTATTATAAAGATGACACAAATATCGGAGTTAGTTAAAATGTTATTAAATCAAAATATCGACATGACAATTGGAGATAATTTGAATCAATACATCATGTAATAGTTTATTTTACATTGACATATAATAGTTTAAATAATAAAATCGACACAACAATCGGAGATAATTAAAATGTCATTTGAATCAATACATCATGTAATAATTTATTTTACATTGACATATAATAGTTTAAATAATAAAACAAAATTTATTTACTTACGTGTTAAATAATAAATTCGATGACAATAAAATTAACTTGTTTTTAGTATTAGCCAAAAAGATATAAAAGTAATCAGTTTTTTAATTTCTCTAACTCTTGATTTTACCAACCTTTTTAAAATAGAATTCCTTTACTTCATATGGCTTTCTGTTTGCTAATATAAACACAACTGTTTTCCTTTTAAGTTTTATAAATAAGTAATAGTTCACAAAGTTCTTTCACTTTACTCTTCATTGAACTTATAGGAATATTGGCTTTCTTACCTTTTTTTCTATTTCTTTCTGCTGATATTCTTAGGTAAATATATCATACAAGTTTTAACAAAACTTTAAGTCATAGTATAGAACTATCAGCTTTTTTTTTTGACTTTCACATTTTTTTCATTTGTTGGTATTCTACAGGTAAATATACTTTGGGATAATCATTTTGTTACAATATATATTTAGCTAACGTATCTTTTTTTTGAATTTATATTAGTTTTGAAAAATTTTGGTTTTTTTTTGGGGGTCTTTTTCCTATTTGATATCATGCCGCGTTCAATGCTCTTTCATTTTGAACCATCCCTAAGATCACGGCAAGTAATGAATTCCAAAAAAAGAAGCTGTTCACATTCCTACTACAGTTTCGATTCGTCTTCTAAATCCTCTCATTTGCATTCTCAAAATCAGCATTCTTGTCATCACCGTTCTCGTTCTCATTCTCATTCTCGTTCTCGTACCTGACATTCCCATACTCGTACCTGACATTCTCACTCACATGCCAATCACTCTCGATCAAACTCGTATAACCGTAATAGTTCGGACGAAAGAAGTCATAAACGTACAAAAGTAAATACATTAGAAGAAGGTAAACTAATTAATATTTTATTGTTATTTTATATATTTATAATACGAATATCAGCAAAAATATTTATTTATCATTTTATATATATTGACAATATGAATATCAGAAAAAATATTTACCTTGATTATTATTTATATATTACGATACCTTAATTATTATATTTTATATTAATAATACGAATATGGCTAAAAATATTTACTTTATTATAGAAAATAAATCTTTGAAATCCCAACTTTCTCTTCTCGAAGAAAGACTAAAATGTATTGAAAGGGCGCAATCAAGCACTCCAAATCAACGAAGTTCACAATCGCCTGCAATATCCGTTCATAATAATAATAATCTCGATGATTATAATAGTGATGTTGATAATAATGGTAGAAGGAAAAAAAATAAGGAAAAAGAAAGATCTTTTTCACATGGAAAAAACCGTGATCCAGATCAAAAAAGGTTCAGAAAAAGGCAATTAGTCCTAATAGACAAAGAATATAAAACGGCTTTTAGGATACAATTATATTTAATTAATATTTTAATCAATTAATAATGATAATACTAATGATAGGAATATCAGATTGCATAATTTATTATTATAGAAAGAAGTACTTTGTGCAGCTAGGCAATTAGCAAATAAGCATCCTCTGCTGGCGGTTAGTGCTCAAAAAAAAATGGTGTGAACAAAAAGCATTTGTTGAGCTTTTCATTCTACTTGCTTTGAAAAGGCATATTAATAAAAGCCTCGAATATTTGGATGAAGAAGTTGTTCATGTGCTCCAAACAAACTATAAAAGTATATACTCAATGGCAAAGATTAAAGTAGACTCTGAATTGGATAAAGTGAATAAGAAACGTGGTGGAAAAAATTCGCGCATGCAAGATATATACAACTACCAAATTATTAGATATTTGTTTATTTTTATTTTATTTATTTATTTTATTATTTTATTTATTTATTTTAGAAAAAAGGTAGAAGGATCGAAGGTTTGCAACAAATGATTCATATAAAAGATCCTATGATCGAAAAATATCAACCAAATGCCCTTAAAAAGAAAGAATAGAAAGACCACCTTGCTGAAGTCATCGTTATGACAGAATACCATTCTGATGAATTAATTGGGACCGATATTAAACTTGTAGCGAAAGAAAAAAACTCACGTCCAAACAATCATGTTATTAAAGTATATGTTCTACCATGGAGGTCTGAAAGGGTAATTTCGATTTTTAATTTGAGTTTCTATCATAATATAGTCGTATCGGCTTTTTTTACAATTCTAAAAATTATATAGTGCAAAAAAATTTTCTATCAGGCCAAAGAGGTGGCTTTAACGAACCAAGCCAATAAAATTATACGGGAACGACATTACGACAAAAACTGGATTCAAAACACAAGACCACCTCTTGATGCACCTTTTTGGACAATTGCTTCATCCTACAATTATAATAGATATGGTGACTATCTTACGCCCAATACGTCTATCAGTACCAATAATTCAGGGTCTAATAATAATAACGATAATGATAATAATGATTCTGGGCATACCGATACCAGATCTAATAACGATCCTGAACCTGGGCCTACCGATGATACCAGATCTAACAACAATCCTGAACTTGAGCATATCAATGATACCAGATCTAACAACGATTTAGAATCTGATGCTGACAATTATAATTTCAGGCGTAGACCTAGAAATGAATTAGGGTATGCAATTAAGAATGAATAGAAAATTTATTTATATATTTATTAACTTTCTATCCTAGATTCAATAATTTCGATACAAATGAGCCAGAAATAAATAATGAAGGATCAACTAATTCCGGATGTAATTCTGGGCATAATTCCGAGTATAATTCCGGGCGTAGACCTAGAAATGACGATTCTGATACAAATGATCCTAATCACGAATCAACTTCTATGAATAATAATCCCAGTACTAAAACTCCTGTTCGTAAATCTAGCCGAATTAAGAATAGAAAAAGAATGAATGTTCCAACCAGAATATTTGCCTACAGCGAAGAGGAAACAGAGGTAAAGACCTTTTAATATACTATTTTTTAGATGACATAATTTTTATATACATTTATTACTTTGACAGTAAACAACGATAAAGAAACGTTACCCAGAAACTTACTGGATCTTATAAGCGCAAAATGTGACAAACAAGAGAAACCTTGACATCGTTATTTATATCAGTACAGATGAATTTTATTTCGTTCATATTATAAAGCACATTAGTAATAGATTTAGCATATAGATTTTTTAGCGAATATTTCAAAAATATATATTTGTATAGCATTAGCTATTAACTAGTAATATTTGAATATTGGAAAATAAATGATTATTAATTGCTTTCATTATGAAAATATCGATTCTATACATCATATTAATAGTATTAAATTTTGAATACATAAACATTGGCAAAATTTATATAACTATTAGTGAGCCGATATTCTGTAATACTTGGTATATACCACTTAGAAATTTAGAATATCATATAAATATCAGAGAATATAGTATCAATATTCTAAAGCTGATATTCTTACCAAAATTTTGTATATACGTCACAGAAAGTGGTTGATATATGCCAAACCAATAGGTCACAGATATGCACCAAATATTGGTAAGCTATCGGACAGTACCTATCAGACCAATATTGTAAGATATATGCTACCTTTATTAGACCTATCAACCAGCCGATAGGTTATTGAAATTTCATTATTGGACCAGTAGTATATATTAAATTATTTTCTCCTAAATTTTGGAGCACCAGTTGAATTAAAGAAAAACTGCAAAGAATCTAAACTTTTTCTGCAAACAGATCTGCAAAAGAACATTCAACAAGAAAATATTATCCTTTGTTCTTTAGATATCACATATAGCAGAAAAGGAAAAAAAGTTATAAATAGAGGAGGATTAAATATAGAGGAAAATAGAAATATTACGTACATTACAGCCAAAGGATATACTAATTAAACTAAAGAACTTAATATTGCAACACATAATATTAACGGTATTAAAAACAATGCTTACAAACTAGAATTTGCTCTTGAGTGAGCATTAGACAACAAAATAGATATTCTATGCATTGCAGAAACAAATATTTCAAGAATTGAAGGAGAATGGCTAACGAAAGCTCAATCTAAATACAGAAGTTTTTGGGTAATTTCAGATTGTAACAAGAAGAAAAGCTCTGGAGTTGGTCTATTAGTAAACAAATAATAGAAAAGATATATAGGAAAAGTAGACAGAATAAGTGAATATATATATATATATATTTTTTTATATTATCGCAATGTCATGGGAAGATGAATTTTTTATTAGGTATTTAGTATTACATTCTTGGTTAACAAGAGTACATTTAGCCACATGTGCAACTTTTGGTTGCCTATTTAAGTAAACACCTGAAGGTTCTATACTAAATGCTGTACCTGCAACCTAACTATAAGATTAATCATTTAAACTCTCTGATGTCTTCTGTCTTGTAACACCACCCCAATTCCACCAATCCATAACCTCATGCTGCTCTAATGAAGACCATCCAGATTGACATCTGCTAACTACTTGTGCCCTAATTCTATAGATAACCCAATAGGACCTACATATCAGATTGCCTTAGGGAAGGTATAGTACAAACCTCTCTAATCTTTCTATGTCCCATACATTTCCAGACTAGGCTATTCAGTAACTTACGCCGGTTTGCAAAGTTCACCCAAATCCCAGTATACACTTTACAGACTAATACTGACTTTCCTTCACCAACAGCACCCCAAACTTCCAATTCAGATAGCCTGGGGAGAGACCAGTGGGCGTCCTCTTAATATTCTGATTGAATCCTTTTCCTTGTCAATATGGGGCCCTTATCTGTATATACGCAGCCTGGTTGATATCAGTATCTTGCCGAACACCTGATCCTTGTCTGGTTTACTGCTGGTGTCTGGTTACTGATGATCATCCTTTATATAGTACTGTTGAAGATCTGTGCTACCTCTCTGCTCAGAGCTTGCTAAGCAGGCTTTCATATGCCGTAAATCCAAGCTTTGAATTTATATAGTTGCATAACTCATATATTACACAACCTTCCAGAACACTGATATGACCAAAGTTACAGGTGCTACCACTTCTCAGGATGTCATATAGTATACCATAATACATTCTTTAAATTCGAATTTCATTGCCGGTAGGATTCGAACTCTTGTTTTGCTGTTTGGGGGTGCGACAACTTCACCACTTCACTAAGTTGCTATACTCTTAATAAGTAAATATATAAACTCTATAAGTTTAATATTTAAATAATTAGAGATTATAGTAATAATGCTTTATATATTACTGAATAATGAACAAGAAAAAAAAAAGGCTCATAAAACAATTGTAGAAAAATTTATTAATAGATCTCTTAGAGCACAATTGATAATTATAGACAATTTCAACAGTATAGTAGATCTGAAGCTAGATAGAATGCAAAACACTGAGAAGAAAAAACTAAAGAGAGACACTCTTTTAAATTGGCTGCAAAGACAAGAGTTTCAAGATACTTTTAGAACAATATATTTAAAAGCTAAAAAATTTATATAGTCAAATAGAAAAGCAAATACAAGCATCATGAAATTTTAAAATTAATGATCAACTCGTTATTTAATTTTAAAAAATAAATATTATATCTTTAAGAATAATCATTATAATATACAACTAGATGTTTAACAACTTAATTAAATAACATGTTGTATATTGTATTCCAATATATTAAACATTGCAATATTCAATGAAGCCTCCAATTTTCATTGCTTTTTTTAATGATTAACTTCAGATTAATCATCTAGATTTAATATCTTTTTTTAATTTCGTAATGTAAATGATATTCAAATAAATAGAAAAAGTCTAAATTGATTGTAGTCAATTCAAGAGAAAATAGAGAAAATAGAAAGATTTTCTTCGGGAATAAGTGGATTGTAAAAGAAGAAAGAAACAAAATTACAAGTTTCTAGAAGTATGGCTTAATAACAATCTAGATGAAGCTCTTATTAAGACAAGAGCAAAAGAAATTGTACTATCAACAGCACAGATATTAAACTTATAGTAGCACAAGCAGTATATATTAATAATATATATATAGTCCCTAAATTGTGGTATATGTTACAAGTGTCAAAATTTACCAAGAAGACAATAGAAGACCTTCAAGCACCAATACTAATGCTAGCAAAGCAGAAAATGGAGTTAATAAGAACTACAAACAATAGTACAATTCTTCACAGAAATATCAGATGCTACAATGCATTATGGAATTAGCTGCTAATCAAGCAAGTCTCTAATTTATATTTGCGACTAAACTCAGCAGACCTGAAGAAATTCTAATATCACTGAGAATAAGTCAAGGTTTGCAGTTTTTGAGAGCAGCTGAAAACATGTGGTTTGAAGGACTACCAGATACTTATACCTGGCTTTGAAAGAATAATTTGACTTGTCTAACAATGCTGAAAGCCAAGGAGCTAAACATTATATTTAAATTTAAAAACACAGAGCTTATAGGTGATGACAAGAAATTCAGAATAGCAAATATTTTTAGAAAGAAGTTTACACCGCAAGTAGCAACAATGCTTAGGAAACTTAATATTATATCTCTTAAACAACTGTTAATATATACAGAAGATCAGATAATAACTTGGCAGCAACTTAAAACACTTAGGCATTTCTCTTGTAGAGGTAAAAGTGCAAAGTGGTTTTGTTTAATAAAAAAAACAGTAATTGAAAGTAGTGAAGATAAAGCTGTAAAACTAGAGTACAGAATAGAAGAACCTAGTTTCTGGTCTTTTCAAATCCCTGCAGACTCTTTAGAAGCAGATAGAAGAAAGAAAGAATAGGTACTATTAAAAGCATCTAAAACAGCAGGTAATAAAACCACATTAGTTAAAAGAATTATAGATAAATCAAAAAAAAGATGGATTATAGAATATTGGAAGCCAAGTTCAGACTCAAGTACAAAAAGCATAATTATGGAAAGATGTGAAGGTTGCGAGCTCAACCAAGAAAAAGAAGAGAATTCTTGTAAAGGTTATTTGAGTGAAGAGAAGATTCAAGGCTCTATAACAAAATTTATCAACAAACAAAAAAAAAAAGCTCTAAAGATTAATCTAGAAATGATACAGTTAACGCAAGTTCCCTTCAAACTGAAGATACCAAGAGGTAAAAGTGTGATTTAAGAAATTAGAATATATAATTTGGATGTGGAAATCATTAAGAAACAGCAAATCGGTCAAAAAATACAAAGTTTTTTATTAGAGAAGATCAGAAAATTACAAGAATACTCTCTGACACAGTTTAAATTTTATACTAATAGATCTTTAAAAAATGACAGAAGACAATCTCAATCAGAAGCAAACAGAATGGGAGCAAGCTGAGTACTATTAGATAAAGAAGAGAGAGAAGCAATTGATGAAGAGTATTTTGGAGCAAGAAACTGACCATCCTTAATAAAAGCAGAGCTACTTGGAATCAGGTGTGTACTGCTTATCGAATCTAGTAAAAGGAAGGTCAAGATTTGTACAGATTGTGCAGTAGCTATAACTAAGATCGAAAGGAAAAAACAAAATAGATCGGCAAGATAATGGTTTAAAGAAGAAAATTATGATTTAGTAAAATGCATTTTAAACTTAATAGAAATGAAGGAATTACAACTAAAATTAGAAAAAGTAAAGGTTATAGTGATAATAGTTAGAATAGTAGAGCAGATAAATTAGTTAAATTAGGATCTAGAATAAAAGATAGAGATAAAATTATAAAAAAACTCCTCAGAAATTGAACATCACTTTATGCTGAGAAGAGACAGTAGTAGAAGACCCTACAAGAGAATTCCTATGATTAATTCTTGACCTCAAGACAGAAATAAAATAGAAATTCTTTTCGGCAGTAAGAAAAATAAAACTTGAAGACAGTGTACAAACCCAGTACTGGCCCATTTTATGAAAAAAGATTAGAAATCAGAGTGGTATACGATGTACAAGTTCAAGGAAAATAAGCATTTAGATATGCTAGTTAAATGTTTGCATAAAAAACTACTAGTGCTGAAAATATTATCAATCAGAAGACCAGAATTATATGATAGTTCAACATGTATAATATGTGAAAAAAATGAAGAAGAGGACTAAGAATATTTGACTACTTGTGAGAAATATGAAATAAGATAAAAAGAAGTAGAGCAACTAGCTTCAAACCTGGCTTGAACAGCCTTATCGAAAGAAACTTGCAGTTATCTTGACAAAGTCCAATTAAGAAAGACTCTATAGAGCTCAACAGAAGAAGGAAAGAATGAAACCAGGGCTGGTGTACTTAAAGGGTTGATTAAAGAAGAGGTTATAAAAAAAATTCTTGAAATAGTAAGAAGTATAAAAGAACTTAGAAGCTACTTGGATACAGCGATCAACTTAGCATGGAATTATTTTTACAGAAATATTTAGAAACTAAGATGTACATATATAAATGATTAAGAAAAGAAAAAAGAAATAGGTCTAAAGGAAAAGAAAAGAAAAAGCTTTATTTCAAAAAAGCTGAATTCTAGTACTAAAAAAAATGAATCAGTTCTAGTAGGAAGAAATAGCCAAGATCAAACCAAAAGAAAAGTAAAGAAGAAAGAAAGCGATGAAAGTAAAGAGGAAGAAGTAAAAAAAAAAAAAAGTACTTGGTTTGAAGCTATCAAAAATTTTATTAAAAATAAAATAAAGCTATTTTGGTATAGCTTTACAAGCTAGCTTGGTGCAGCCCTCCAGTACAGACAAAATACCTTATCTGGTAAGGCAGTCCATCTCTGGGCATCCAATAAAGTAGCTGGAGAATGTCAGATCTGTAGTTTAGATAGTTAAATATATGTATATACTGTATATATACTTTGATCTAATAAAGATATCAGTGAGACTGTCAATAGTTAAAAAAAAAATATATATATATATAAGGTAAATGGGGGTATTGTGGCGAATGGGGTATTGTAACGAACTATTTATAACACAAACTTCCATATAGCATAACCACCTTTTTTAATAATGTTTGCACAACTATGAGTTTCCAAAAAGAAGAAACTACCAAATAACTGTTAACATGATGTCAAAGTCATACAAACAAAAAAATTTTTGATCATTCGCATGCAAAGTTAACATATGTTCGTACGTACGTACGTACGTATGTACATACATATATAAAAAATAACCTGATGAATACAGGTATCAAGACCAGGTTTAAGGCACTAATTAAAAATTTTGGAAATATAATTTATTATTTAATTAAATTAAATAAATTAAACTCAAATATTAATCTGAAAAAATAACCTCTAACCTTCGTTCAACTTAATAATCTTGCTAATCTTATGCGTTTAACTATTGCACGTTATTTCATTTTTTTAGAGTTTGTATTACTTGAACATGAAAGTAAAATGACTATAAAAAAGAAATATTATATTCCATTAGTAGCATTGTACTCATCACATTACAGTTGTTAAGTCAAAGACTCATTCAAGTTTGTCACCTTTTGTTATATTTCATTACTCTCTAAGTAGTGTAAGTTTTAAGTTTATGTTCAAGTTATTTGAACATGATTCAGGTATAAGCCTAATATTGTAGCAATACTGTGTTATATTTGAGTTGCTTCATTAGTGTTATATTGGGTAACTTCATTAGCGTTATATTAGGTTACTTTTTAAATAATAAAGTCTAATTTACGTGTTCTTCTTTCGCTCAATTTTTTATTTAAATTAATCGTGATCTTTAACTTAATTTTTTTTTTTTTTAAATTAAAATTAAATTTTTTTATTAAATTAATTTTCACACTATTACACAATTTTTTTTTATGATTAAATTAAATTCTTTATTTTTTATTAAATTAGATCATTATTTATTCATTCATTTATTAAATTAGTTACAATTTTTTTTTTTTTTTAAATTAATCATAATTTTTTTTAAATCTTTTTGCTTATTTTTTATCAAATTAATTATGTTTTTCCCTTTTTTTTTTTATCAGACATCAACCAAAATGCCAGAAGTTTCTTACCTTAATAAACAAAATAAATTTCTACAGCAATTAATGAATTAAATAATCATCTTGCTGGCGATAAACACCCAAGTATAAATCGTGTAGCAAAATATTTTGGGCTTCCTGAAACTACTCTTCAATGTGTAACCAAGAATAGTATTCTTTCTAAGTGCCGGGGCCTGCCCACTATTCTTACTGAACATGAAGAAAACCAACTCGTTGGCTATTGCATAAATATGCAACAGCTTGGATTTGGTTTAACTAAGTCTGAAGTTAATCACTGCGTAATGAAAATAATGCATAATAACAAACGATCACACCCGTTTGGGAATAAAGGGCCAGGAAGAGACTGGTGGGCTTGATTCATGAGAGACTATTCTGAACTTTCCTTTCGAGCCCCTCAAGAATTATCTGAAGCTCGCGCGCAAAGAGCCAATACAACCATTGTTAATGATCATTTCAATAAGCTTAAACAAGTTATTAACCAAAATTTACTTATAGTAATGCAAATCTGGAATATGGATGAAACTAGGTTTGTTCTTATACCTAAGTTAGAAAAGGTTATTGCTAAAAAAGGCTCACGCCAGGTAGTATTACAAATCGGCAAAAATTTTTAACCAATTAGTTGGTTAATTATTTTTTCAATTTACAACTAGTTGCAACTAATCGACTAATCGATTAGTTGCAATTAATTAAATAATAATTAATTTTCAATCGATTAGTTGTCAACTAACCAACTAATCGATTGTCAACTTCTGATTTGTAACACTAATATTATAAAGTTGCATACGGAAATTTCTATAAGCATATATCTGTTGCATCTACAATCTTAGCTGCCAGGTCATGTATTCTACCTTTGATTATTTACAAAGGTGTTCACATAATTTCAGGTTTGTTAGAAGGTGCACCTTTTGAAACAGTAATAGGTTTTACGGATACCAGATATATGCGCGAAGAACTTTTCTAAATGTATCTTACCCACTTCATTAACTCAATTCCACCAATTTGCCTGGTCTTGCTAATGCTTGATAGCTATAAAAGCCATATCAGCTATACATGTGTTGATTTTTGTTGCCAAAATGGAGTTCTTCTTTATGCGCTTCCACTTCACACGACCCATGTGTTGCAACCGTCTAAAATTCCTTTTGCAAAATTAAAAAAAGAATTTGAAAAACAATGTGACAAATATCACAATGCTACTAACAAAGTAGTAATAAAACATACCTTTGCGAAACTCTTTGGCCCAGCTTTTATTGATACTTATACCCTATCAGCTATTTGTAACGCGTTTAAAGCCACAGAGATATGGTCATTTAACCCCAAGGCCATAAGTTCAGACTGTTTAGACCCCTCATTAGCGACAGAAAGATTTAATATCATATCTTCACCTAACCAACCTTCATCTAATCGACCTCTATCTAACCAGCCTTCACCTAATTAACCTTCATCTAACCAGCCTTCTTAACCAGTTATGTCATCCTCTCAACCAACTACTAAACTAACTACTCATTCTCATTATACCCATACAAATTTTACACAGTTAGTATTAGAAAATGAGAGCCTTAAAAAAGAAGTCAAATCACTAAAAGTTCAATTTACGTCAATCCAAGAAGAATTAGAAACCTATAAAAGTCCCAGAACAAGTTTTTTGCGTTCTATCTTCAAATATAACTTCCCTCACGTCTCACAAACTGTGAATTCAGAGGCCTCTTCAGAAAATAGATCTGAATCCGAACCTGCTTCTAAAAAAAGAAAGATGCTTCCATTTGCACAGCTTCTTACTAATGATGAAAGTTGGCAAAAATTGAAAGAGGCAAAGGAAGAAGCAGAGAGAAAGGTTGAAGAGGCAAAACGGAGAAAGGAGATCGCAGCTCAGAAAAAAATCGATCGTCAATGAAACTTAGAGCAAAAAAAAGAAGAAAGCGAATGAAAAAATGGGAAAAAGAGAAGCGTAAAACTAAAATGTAGTAAAGGTAACTTCTTACTGCTAGAAGTATTAGATCTGAAAAAAAAATTAAATAAAAAATTAACAAGTTTTTACAAGTAAAAAAAAAGGCTGTACTGTATTATTAGATTAGTCAGTGTTACGTATAAGAATGTAACCAATTACAATTGACAAATCTCATGTTTTTATTGGATATATCGACCCTGAGTCATGAATTTCAAATTTGGAAGGTTTGTATTATATTCGCCACAATACTCCCACTCCTCCAAAATTCAATTTTGTATTCCATGTATAAACGGTTTATAAATGTTCTAAATTTTGTTTATCATACTGTGATAATTTATATAAAATCTATTTCAAAATAAGGGTTAGTTTTATACTTTAAAAAAAAAAGATTGTTTATATAGTAAGTACAAAGTTTTGCTAGTAGTAATTTTAACTTCGCCACAATACTCCATTTTACTTTATACAGTGTTGGCATTGAACATATAGGCTGAGTGCTATAGAAAAAGGAGAAATTAACAAAAAACAAGATCTTCAGAAAATCAATTTTTATATTATAAATTTTATAAAAATCATAAGAAATTACAAATTTTAAAGATCAACACTGCAAACTTTTATTAATAAAAAATGATCTTGATTTTATTCTAAATTAATTTATATAAAAAAATTAATTTTAATAAATTTGTCAATTTCTCTCTTTTCTATAGCACCTAGCCTATATGTCTAATAATTTTGAAAACGATTGGACATATAAAATTTTATATATCCAATCTTTTTCAAATTCATTAGACATATATCCAATGTCAACATTATATATATATATATATTAATAGATGATTCATCAGTTATTTGAAGAGCTATGTGATACAGGTTATACAAGATTTATATATAAATTATATATAAAATCTTTAAATAGTAAATGTGGAGATTTTTTTTTATTTTTTATTTTTTTTTTAAAAAGCGCATCTAAGCATACTTTATTTATTTATTCTTTTAAAGATAATATACATATTTACATATTGAGATTAATATATTTAAGAATATTGTTAGTTTTTTCTGATTTGAAAAGAACTTTTTTGTTGAGTAATTTTTGTAATAGTTTGATTTCATGTTTAATTCTTATGATTATAATGTTCGCTATTGCCTCTTGAGAAACTATATTATCACCCCACCTGGCTTGGGTATACCAGCACCATATTTCATAAATAGCTGTAATATGAAGCCAAATGGCTTTTTTCTTTTTTGGATGTTCGTGATGTTGGTCATCGAAGTGGTGTCTTCTAAAGTTCTAGAAATGGCATCCCATCTGTATTGATAAGTGCTCTGTAGGTAGTTTCCCAAATTACTTTGCTTAGTGAGTATTTAAGAGCAAAATGTTCTATTGTTTGAGTAATGTAAGGACAATTAGGACAATCCTCTAAATTGGTTTGGTCAATATGAACAAGTCTATACCCAAGAGGTAGGGCTCTATGGGTTAGTCTCCAGAATATGTCTTTCTTTTTATTTAGTAGCCATTTTGTTTTTATTCATTCCTGTGATAAGAAGTCCTTTTTTGAGGAGTCAGTAGTTACTGTATTTGGAGAATTGTGATCTTTTTTTAAGACTTCTCTTACTGTGAATTGATTACCATTAATGTTATTTATCTCAATTTGTTCTAGTGACTAGGGCCACTTGTAGCTAGTTAAGATTTTTCTTTTAAATCTTCTCCATGCTGTAATATAAGCAGGGATTTTGTGACAAAGCTGTAGCAGTGAAGATCTTTCTCTTATTGTGGAGCTTTGTGTCGATATTTTCTCTTTCTGTAGTAGCCCAAAAAGTGTTACTAGTTAGAAGTTTGAGCAGTATTGTAAGAAGTCTGGCATCTAGCATATCTTTGAGAATAGGAGCTGCCAGTCCTCCTTGTTTATAGTTGCACTGAAATACTGAGTACTGTGGAAGCATTCATGAATTGTTTTTGATTCATTTTTTAATAAGAAAGTCAATTTCATTAAGTTGTTTTCTTGTTGGAGGAAGGAGATAAGCCGAGTACCAGATTTTTGAAATAAGTAACATTTTGGTTGCAAGAATCTTTCCTTTAAAAGAGAGATTTCTTTGAGACAAGTCCTGGATCTTATCTTTAATTTTTTTGATCGTGTTGCTCCTGAGGGCCTTATCTGGGTTTTTTCTGATATCAACTATAAAGCCTAAAATCGTGATATTAGTTTGTATATCTAATAACAGATTAAATTTGGCTTGATCTGGCAGTTCCACTTTGCTGGCATTTGCCGTAAGAGGAATGAGAGTTAATTTGGATTTGTTAACTAGTGCATTAGAAGCACACTCATATAGTGATAAGACTTCTTGTAATTTGTTCCAATCAGAGATTTGTCTGATGCTAATAGAGAGATCATCAGCATATGCTGCAATTTTGAATGACGAGTTATTAACTGAAATAAATGCCTTTAATGTTTTAGTTGATTGGATTAGAGGATTGATAGCTAATACATATAGAAGAGGAGAGAGGGGGTCCCCTTGCCTGACTCCTCTTTCAACTCTAAAGGCCTCAGAGATAAAGTCTGAGTCTACTATATAGGCTTTTTGAGTAGCTAACAAAGATTCAATAATGTCAATAAATTTAGAGCTAAAGCCCATTCTTTCTAAAACTAATTTCAGAAATTCATGATTTACTCTGTCAAAAGCTTTTTGTTAGTCTAATAAAAGAAGCCAATGTTGTACTGATTGATCTTCTTAGTTTTTTAAAGTAGTAATGATGTCCAGAGCAGTATTGATAATTGATCTTTTAGCAATAAATGCCTGTTGTGCAGGTCCAATAATCTCATTGCAAATAGGGTTTATTCTGTTTGCTAGGATTTTCATAAAAATTTTTGCATCTGTATTAACTAGAGAGATAGGTCTCCAATTATTTAAATTAGTCAAATCATCTGCTTTTTTAGGAATAAGAATAATAAAGCTCTTGCTCCATGAGCTTGGGATTGTTTCAGTATTTATTACATTGTTGAATACTTTGACGAAGATTGAAAGGGTAAGTTCTTTGGTGTCTTTGTAGAATTCGTATATTAGGCTATCTAAACCTGGAGCCTTGTTGTTAGGCAGCTTATTGATAACTAAGCTAATTTCTTCCTCAGTAATAGGCCTAGTCAGAGAGAGATTTTGTTCAGAAGAAACCTGTTCTAGATTATTTGTGATCTGAAGTGCTGCTTCCTTATTGATATCTTCACTCTTGTAGAGAGCTTGATAAGAGTTTTTAATATAGCTTATTGTTTGCTCTTGTGTAGAATCATCAGTGACATTTGAGTTTCTGATTTTGGTGCTACAGCTTGTTGTGTGCCTGGATTTATATAAGGCAAAGAAGTACTTGGTTGACTTTATCAGATAGTTGTTGTAGTTCCTCCTGTAGTTTAAGATTTATATCTTCTACCACTAATTTAAATTCTTCTAGATTAGGGTTCTTTGCTATTCTGTTGTTAATGCTGCTAAGTCTTTTTTGTAGTTTTTGTATATTACTTTCTGGTGGTGGAGGAGACTTAACTGCCTAATAATGTCATCTTTAAGTTCAGTATTACTCCAGAATTTTCTGTCAAACTTCCAGAAGGTACTGTGATGATGCTTTGGTTTTAGACTGAGAATACTTTTGACTAGCAGATGATCAGAGTTGCCAAATCAAGTAAGAGTATTAGTGCAAAGATGACTATGGCTAGCCTCGATAAAAATATAATCAAGTCTAGTAGCCATTCTTCGATTGCCTGATGTTGATTGATAAAAAGTAAGAAAAGGACCTCTTTAGAGAATAGTGCTGTATCAGTATAGTCAGCTATTAGATCTATTAAAAGGTCTTAATTCTGTCTTTTTCTGGTCTTAGATTTGTATTGAAGTCTCCTGCCACAATACAAATACAGTTGATATCTAAGTTTGGTGTCCAGTTTTTGAAGAAGTTGTATCTTTCATCAGCATTTGGTGGTGCATAGATATTTGTAATAAGAAAAGGTTGTTCCTGCAAGAATTGCTACTTTGGAAGACCAGATCGAGTCAAAACCCATTGCTAAGAAAGGAATTTTCTTGTATTTGAATCTTTCAGATTTGTTTTTTGAATTAATATTATGTCTAGTTTATAAGATTTTAAAAGTGTAAATGTTTTTTATATTGAGTATAGCGATTTTAATCATTGAAGTTAAATATGGAGAGGCTACACTAAAGGTGGATCTCTTTAGTGTTGGTTCTTATATGTAGAGTGACTCTGGTAAGAGCTACCTGCTTTTCTATATGGGCCTTCTGGTCGAACGTAAGTTTTCTTTTTGCCTTTTGCACCTTGTTTTCTAGATACCACTGTGATGAAAGGTGCATTATCATCAGCTGTAGTAGAAGAATCAAGAGCTGCAAGATCATCTTAAGATTCTATTTCTATCTGTACAGAATTGTCTGTAGAGTCAATAATAGCTGCAGATGCTGTTTCTTCTGATATATCTGGAGAGCTTGTAGAGTCATAAAGATCTGTCTCCATTGTAATTTCTAGTGATTGATCTTTCAAGAGTACTTCAGATGATTTTGTAGTTGGTTCGACATCTGTATTTTCTTGTTTAATGTATGGATTGTCTTGACTAAAAGAAATTTTTTGAGAGTTTTGAAGCAAAGTTTTAGCTTTTTCTCTTTACTCTTTGGCCTCTCTTAAGAGTCTTCTTGTTTCTATCGAAGCCTTCAACTCCTCACAGTCACTTTTGATATGGCCTTCTTTGTCATAATAGAAGCAAACTTTAGGTGCTTCCTTCTATTCTGTAAAAATTCTATGATTGCCAATATGAGTGCTTCTTGGAATTCGTGAAGCTAGATCTGGATCTTCAGTAGTTTCGAAGGTGACTAGCCATTGGTCAGTACAGATCAAGGTACCTTTAAAAAGAAGAGGTTTGATTGAGGCGATTTGTCCTACATCGCGAAATGCTTGTAAGGTATTATCGCTAATTTGCTTGGTGTCTCCCATTGGAGTGTTTTTGAGCTTAATCATAAGAAAAGAATGGTTTAGATTAATAGAAATATAACCAAAGAAGGTTTGCTTAAACAAAGAGATTCCTTCGGCTGCATAATGTTAAACTTTCTGTTTGTCTTTTAAAATAATCTCTAAGAAGACTCTTTTTCCTCTTAACATATGTGTTTTCGCAGCAATTAAGTTACCACCTAATGAAACAGCTAGTGCTGCAATTATTTCGTTTGTTGCAATGTTGCTTAGGTTTTGTATATCAAAAATAAGAGCATTTTCATTCTTGGAGTATATTTGTTGCCTAGGAGTGGGCCTTGTGTAGGCTGCTTTTCATCCTTTAAGCTTAGCAAAGAGATTAGACCACTGTTTTGGCTTCGGTTCTGAGTGTTGAATCTCTTTAGTGTTGTCATGTGTAGAGATGTTTGAGTCCTTGTGGATTGGTGCTTCTGATTGGTTGTTGCTTGACATATGTGTTATGTCTTGTTGACTATTTACTTTTTGCTCTTTTTTATTTAACATGTGTTGTTTGTTGTTTACATTTTGCATGTGATTTGTTATGTTTACATTTTTTGTATGTAATTTTTGGTTCTTAAAAAGACCTTCTGCTGAAGTTTCTTTTGATACAAGTTTCTCTTTCTCAGTTAAACTAGCTCAGTCTTTACTAGTTGATGTTGAAGCAGTGCTGTTATAGTTATTTGTAGTATTTGAAGCCTCATTTAGTTGAGGTTTGGTATTTTGCTCTAAATTTTCACTCTTCTTAATATTGCTCTCTTCTGTTTCAAGAAGATTAAAAACTTTGTCGTTGCTGTTGTCCAGTCTAGCTTTCTTATGTTGTGACTTGCTCATATTTAAAACTGTTGTTTGCATTTCCTGGGAGTCAGGGCCTTGGCTCTGTTTGGTTTTTGAGAAAAAATGAAGTTTTTTTACGAAGAAATTTTGTTTTACCAAAATTTCTGGAGGTGAACCAGAAAGAGTTTTTTTAGGCCTTCCAAGATGTAGTTTTATGTCTGAATTTGCTCAAAATTTGGCTTTCTACTAATAGGTGGTCTGAATTGCCAAAACAGGTTTGTGTCTCAAAATTAAGACAGCCATAGTTGGTGTCTACAAATATATAGTCTAATCAAGTAGCCATTTTTTTGATTGCCTTGTATATTTTTGATAGAATGTCAAAAACAGGCTATCTTTTGAAAAGCTTGCTGTATCTACAAAGTCTTTTAGAAGTTCCAGTAGTAAGTCTTGTGAATTGTCATTTTGTATCTGCTTGGCTAATATGGTTAATCTTAGAATCTAGGTTTGTGTTAAAGTCCCCTGCTATTATGTTTAATGTATTGGTGTCCAATACTGAAGTTCAGTTGCTAAAGAATCAGTATCTGTTTTCATGGCTTGGTGGGGCATAGATGTTTGTGATAGCATATCGACAGTGTTTGTATATTAGTTTAGTCGAGATTACTCGATCGTTGTGTGAGACTTGTGTTTCAGAGAACTTGATATTTGCTTTTTCAGCCAAAATAGCTGTTTTGGAAGTCCAAATTGAGTCATATCCCCATTGTTGTGAGAGGAATCTTCTTGTTGCAATGTTTTTAAGATTTGTTTCTTATAAAAGTATTAAGTCTATTTTGTAAGATTTTAATAAAGTTAAAGTTTTTCTAGTCTTTGTGTTGTTGTTAAGGCCTTTTATATTTAGTGTGGCAATCTTAATCATAGATTAATGGATGTATGTTAAGTCACACATGTGGGCATTTTATTGATTAAACGTGAGAAGAAGAAACCCCTTGGGGTTGTTCTCCTTATCTGCTTTGTTGATTCTAGTAAAAGAAGAATAGACTCCTTTCTTGGTCTTGTTTTTAAATTTTCTTTTCTTTGAGGTAACTAGCACAAGTAAAATGATGTTCAATAAGGATTGCCAAATTTAGCCCTATTAGTATCCTATTGCTTAACTGATTATTGCTAAATTTAACCTATTGATTTCGTATTGATATTGAAATTGAAATTTACAATAATCAGGTAACCCTATTGATTCCCTATTGACCTCTTTTTGTGCCAAAATTCGTAAGCAATATGAAGTTAATAGGTTTAAGTTTTGTAATAATTAGGTAACCGTATTGATACTCTATTGAATGGCATTTTACTTGTGTAGAGTAAATTCTCCTTCATTATTGTTGTTCACTTCATTATGAGATATAATATCTGTTTTCATATCAGTTGCCTTAGCATTGTTTACAGATATGTTTGTAGCTTCTAGTTCATTTTCTGTTGTTTTTATCTCATTTGCTTCTGCAATTGTATTAGCAGGGTTAAGTTTTCCTGCCTGAGATGTTTTTGCTGTAATTGTTTCTGATGCTAGTTGAAGCATATCTTGTGTTTCTGTAGTGCTTCATCAGAATTTTCTAAAATCATTTCTGAGATGTATGGGTTTTCTGGGCTGTTTTGCATTTGTGTTTAGGATTCACTTTGAATTTGGCTCTCAAATTTGAGGTCTTTTTGTTCTCTTTGTTTTTTATAATCTTTTAGTCTTTGCCTAAATTCAATTGAAGCCTTAAGATCTTTGTAGTCTTTCTTGATGTGCCCTGTTTGTTCACAGCAATAACAAACCTTTGAAGCCTCTTTCCAGTCTGTCAAGACTTTATGGTCACCAACATGTGTAAATCTGAAAAGTCTTTGAGCTAGATCATGGTCTTTTGTAGTTTCGAAGATAATAATCCATTGATCTGAGCATACTGATGTTCCCTCAAACATAAGTGGTTTGATTAATGCAATAGTACCTACATCTTGAAATGCTATTTTAACCAATTCGTTAATATGCTCCTTTTCTCTAATTGGCATGTTTCTTAGCTTAACTGAGAGAAAAGTGCACTTGAAGTTTATTGGAATATAACCAAACAGAGTTTGGTTAAAAATACTTATTCCTTCTGATGCATAGAGCTTCTGTTTGTCTTTGTTAACAAAGACAGTTTCTAAAAAAGTATGATTTCCTCTTTGTATATACATTTTAGCTGCTAGCAGATCTCCTCCTAGTTTGGTTGCAAGAGCTAGGATAATGCTGTTTGTAGAGATATTTACAAGATCTTGAATGTTGAAGATGAGTGTGTTTTCATTCTTAGAGAGTATTTTGTTTAGGTGCAGCATTTGTAAATGTGGCCTTTCTCTCCTTTAGTTTGGAGAAAAGATCTGACTACTGTTTGTTTCCAGAAGGTTGTTTTCCTATTTGGGTGGATTGCAGTTTACTAGTTTGGGAGCTAGGTCCATCTTTGGGTTCGGGATCTGTTGTGTTATATCATCATGTGCTGACTTCACGTGTTGTTTATTTGTTTGTTTGTTTACTTCTGTATAAGACTTTTAAAAGCTTCAAGGCTTTCTTCTCCAAGTTTATTCTTTTCAGTAGTTTCACTTTCATTTGCCAGTTTGTTTTGTTGTTTGTAACTTTGTCTTGTGTTCTTGTGTATTATTTTTCTCTTGTTGTTTAGAGTTGTTAACCAACTTTCCTGTACCTGTTGTTAACTTTGGTACAAAGTTAAAGGTTTTTTCTTTGAGTTTATTGTTGTCTAGTCTGACTCTCTTGGAAGTTGAGTTGCTCATATTTAAATGTACAAGTTTTTGTTTCTTGAGAACAAGGGCTAAAGCTCTTTCAGTTGAGTTATAAAAGAACTTTGTTGAGTTTTTTTTAGAAATTTTTTTTTTTCGAATATTTCTAGAGGTGAACTGGAAAGAGTAAAAGGTTGACCAGAAACTAATCATTGAGTTATTAGGTTCAAGCTCTACTTGTTGCGCTTTGATTATTTCTTTTAGGATGCTGTCGACTGAAGCTTCTTTATTTTCTTTTCTTTTGATACTGAACTTTCTGCATTTTTTTCTTTTGTTGTAGCCTTTATATTTTCAATATTCTGATTATTTGTTGGGAGGTGAAGGGACTTTTCTTGTATCATGCTATTTATTTCCTTACTTGTATAGCGATTAGATGTTTTTTGTTGGTTTGGTCTGATATTTAAGTCTTGCAATTGTCTAGCTACCTGGTCTATGTCTCTGTTTGTTTCTTCTTCGTCTTCTGATGATCTTCTTTTCTTTGGTTCTAAAAACTAAGATTTTCTACTGAACCTTCTTTTTTGAGTTCTTTCATCTTGCTTTCTTCTTTTTTTTTTCCTTCGTCAATCCTGTTTACTTTATTATGGGAACAGACTTTCATTTCTATATCGGCATACGAAGAAATCTAAAATCTATAAGTGTTCCAACCAAAGAGTAAACTCACCCCTGGTGTACCTCGCAGATGCCGAAACATCCACTTGTGATCAGGGTGAACCATTAAACTGCTGTGTCTTGCCCAGATGCAACCTGCCTAGCAACACTTGGCCTCCTTCAGAGATCAAGATTCCCACTCTACAATAGAATGCTGCCAAACTGATGACACTTTCTCGTAGAGAAGGAAAAAAGAAAAAAAGTGGAATAATAGGGAACGAAAAAAGGATAAATAATAAAAACAAATACATCAAAGAAAACGAATACTAATACTAAGGAATATAAAAAAAAAACTAAAC